ACCATTTTCCCTTCAGTCCCCAGCAAGGACTCTCTCCATTCACCAGACTTAGAAATGTTCCCTCCCTCCAAGGTTCAGTACCTCAACATTGTGCCAGCTTCTCACCCTAAAGCATCGCTGACAAACACCTGCAGAAATGAACAGCAGAGCATTGTAAATAAATGCTGTATAGCCCTATTCCCTCCTCTGAGACTGCCTTAGAGGAAAGGTAAGGCTTGCACAAAAAAGGCATCTTTCCCCAGCACACCATGATCATAGCAATTCCCTTTCCAAAGGCCAATTCTTTCAGCTCAGGTCTTCTCAAGTATCCCCTTGGATACACTCAGGCTCAGAATTGTGCTTCATGCTTCCCCGATCTGGAAATAAATGCATTAGCAACAGTTTCAAAATCAGGCAGTAAAGATTTGAACTCCAGGCTGGGGTTTCCATCCCCTGGGTTTCTGCAGGGTGAAAGACCTCTGGGCAAGGATCCATAGAGCACCAAGCACATTGGCACTTCCATCTCCACTAGAAGCTCTAGGACCTACTGTGGTTTGATAACAGTAACACTAGAGCAACAGAAGATTATATCCTAGCACTATAAAATCACTCCTCTTGATATAAATGTGTCGATAATCCTCAAAGCCTATCTACAGTCTTTTTTCTAGTTCTTCCATCAGCAGCAGGACTACCAAAGCCTGGTTCCTTGTGTTCCCCGTGCTCCCTTGTGCAATACCTTCCTGTGCCCTCACGCCCCCCTCCAGATCCCACCAAAACGATCTGCCCCTTCTCTATTTCTACCCTCCCACCAGGATATGACACGTGGTGTGACTGGTCAGGGGCCATGTGAATGGTGCTTGGGTAGTTGGCAGATGTCAGACTCTGCTGAATTTTCCCTCTATGCCTCTATTCAGCTAATGGTTTTCACAAATCTTAAAAAACTGAAGCTGCTGAAACTTTTACCTCTCTGGGAAATTCAGCTGAGAGTGACAGAAAGTTGAAAACTTCTGGCAGAAAGGGGAATGGCTGGATGGACATGCCATGACTATATGAACCTCAATTCTTTGGGAAGCCAGCTAATAAAAAATACTGACTTTCCAGAAGAGGCCATGAGAATATTCCTCCAAGAAGATGACTTTTTTTTTAAAATTTGGTCCAGCTCCTCTGTAGGGGTCATGCTGTACAAAGGGAAAGGACAGCTCCTCTGGCATAGTAAAGACCACAGCTGGTGCCTAACAGGTATGAGGGGCTGGAGAAGGTGTAACCAATGCAGAATGGCACTTGTGTCATTCTCATCTGTCTCCCCAATCCCCGCCAGCTGCAAGTAGCCAACGTGTCTTAAAGCAGCTCTGCCAATGTCTTTAACTATGCGGGGGCCAACAGCCACACCGCCCCCTCTCCTGGCTCTGCTGTGGGTGCAGATGAGTGCAGTCGGGGACTTCAGCCTAAAATTACTGATGACTTATTCTGTCAGTCTTGCTCATAAGCCAAAGCCATGCAGAGCCTCATTTCCCATACAGAGGGAACTGCTGGGGATGAGGAAACCTTCCTGACAGAGAGGGAAAGGGACATTGACTCCAAGATGTCCAGATCCCAGCCTGCTCCAGTTTGCACCCCTTCACTCAGGGTGCTTGGGTGGAGGGTGCCTCAGACCCCCTTGTCTTCAGGGAGAGGATCCCATAAGTGCACCTCCTTTAAAAACCAATTTTGAGTGGATTAGTGAGTATTAGTTTACCCAGGCATGATGATTAAACTAAGCTTGAATCAGTACTGCCTCCAGAGGTACCTAAACAAAAGCGTATTGCTTCAGTTTTGTCCTCTGCCATAAATTTCAGAGCAACCTCAGGAGAAATTAACACAAAAATACCTTCTCCTTACGTTGTCCTCTGCAGGGAAATACTTGGATTTCTGAGAGGTTTTTTTGGCAAGATCTGCAAATACCGATTCAGTGCCGACCACAGTCAGATCTCTCTGTTGAAAAGTGAAAAACTAAAAACAGAAGGACAGGAGCTCAGGTGGGTCAGTAGGCACAGCACGCCTCAGGTCAGCAAGGCTTAGCCCTGCCACCACGCCTCAGGATAATCTTCTTGGAAACCTTTGTCCAGGGCAACATCTTCACAGCACTTCAGATGTTTCACTCTTCCAGTTTTTTTAGTTAACCATCTGTCTTTTGATTTTTTCCCCTGCTCCCAAGGATGCCACACAATCCTATTTCCTCTCAGATTCAATGGAAACAGGGGCATACCCCATCTTCACATTTTCTGGATGAAGTGGAAGTGCAGCACCCAGCACTAGGCAGGGGTTGGCCATACAAGATTCACTCTACCTCTGGGCAATGCCACAGCTGAATTTAAATGTTCAGCTGCATATGAAATACATGTTTGATAAAGAATGGGAGACTAATGAAGACAGCATGACTCTGAGCAAGCACAAATCTTGCGTGGTATTGCCACCTTGGATTTTAAGCCAAGATGTCAATTAAAGATTTGAATGAGGTCAACTGCAGTGACCCAGCTAAACAAGATGCAATTAATAGTCGGCTGACCTCCCTTGCCCTTCTTCCCCCAAACCTCCTCTTCTTTTGTGTACACTTACTGCTCCTGGGGCAAAAAAGAAAAACGGAGATTAGCACTAATTAGGTCTTACTTAACAAGGTTGTTTAAATAGTTAACGCTTCTCTTTCCTGCTGCGTTTTTAACATATGCACCACACCCTGTTTATGGTTGATAGGGAAGGGTTTGAATGCTTTTAACATCCTCTTTCAGCAGGTCTTTTGCTCCGTCTTTACAGCGTACGTTGTCTAAAGCAAACCCAAAGTCTATAGGCGGCACCATATGGTTAACACTCACATGCAAGAAATACTCTTGAGGAAAGTCTTGATCCTGAAGGGCATCATCTATGTCTATTTTCTGCCTCTGTGCAACACACCATTCCCTAGAGAAGCTGGTACTATGATGGTTGACAGCTAAGAGGAACAGGAATAATTGCAGGCTGCTGCCACCTCTGTCTCAGAAAGTCTATAGCCTTTTACCATTGACTATTGGGAATATTTGCTTGCTTGACAGTATGGGAATGGGATATACAGAAATAAATGTTATATCCACTGGTAAATACCAAAAACATATATAAGCAAACAAATTGCTTAAAAAAAGCGTAAATAAAACTCCTGCACATGTTCATGTCTGTTGCTGTGCACGTGCATGAACATGTGTGTTGAGTGCACACCTGGCTGTAAGAAGGATGTAGCTGAAACTGGGTCTGTGTTGGTCAGGGACTCTCTGTGCTGCCCAGGGAACTGGCTGCTAAACTACCTATCTGTCCTTCACATAAATAAATGAATTTATATAAAAATAAATTTATATAGATGGTATTTATAAAAGTTGAACAGAGAGTCCTTATTGCTTGGCAGGGATGAGACAGTGGTGGCACATGAAGGAAAAAACCTGGTGACGGCCCCTCAGCCGACGTAAATGCTGCAGGGATGCCAGGTGAGGTAGCATCTGGGCACTGAAGGTGTTGCTGGGTACAGGATAAATGCAATGCAAAGGAGCGTCTAGCACACTGCTAGACACCAGGGATATGTAAGTATCCAGAGAACCAGAAAGATCATTTTCTCAAGAGCTTTATGGATTAGGATACTTTCAGAGGATTTTAGGGTCGTCACTCTGTGCCCGTTGTCATGATTCTTGGGTTATTACCCTCCATCACAAAAAATTTCCCCTACCTCCCCATTTAGGCTTCATTTTTGTCTTGAAAACAGAACTTTGGTAAGTGGATCAACCTCACTCTCACCTCAGAATATTTTAGGTCTTGTCACGACCCCACAGACCAAGGGGAATCTCACTGGAGGGAAATTTCAGTCCAGAATCTAAAAGCGTTTACTTTGCTCCTGCTGCTTTTCATCTATTTTCTCTCCTCCTGTTGTGTATTTTTCTGCCCTGCTAGCTGTGGTGCTGCATACTAATAGAGCAATACTTGGCCCGTCCCCAGAGGAAGTTGCGCGCAGGTTTATTGGGGGACAGAGGAGCGAGAAGGAATTTCAGCGCATCCAATAATTCTCCTACCGATGGGATGCCTTCAGGTAACAGCAGATAATTTGATTCCAGCCATTTCCTATTATACCACCGCTGAAAGAGCATGACCTCCAAAGAAACGTATCCAACATCCTTTCCCTGATTATATACTGCAACAGCTTACAAAACTATAACGCTTACGTGTTTCTTAAAAGTGCTTAAAGAAGGAGGCCCGTCTTGCTAAATCCCCTCCATTTGTGATTCAGGCTGACTGAACCTGCAGATTTTGTTTCTTGCTGTGAACACGCACGTGAGAAAGGCTGGGCTGATCTTCCAGCATAGATAGGAAGCGATTTCCTTCAGGGTGTAGAAGAGTGGCAGGAGGTTTTTATTTTCATTCTTCACACGATTGTTATCAGCTCCTTAGCAGCACTAGTTTGGGATTGCGTAGTATGCTTGGTGAGAGAAGCCTTTTGCCACCACCATCATTTCCTCTCATTCCTCAGGCTGGTGCAAAGGTAATAAAGTGGACGCTTATATTCGGCTGAGTGAGCAAAGGAATGTATTTGGTGTTCCAGGTCAGATAACTACAGGTGGGTAAACCCCAAATTAGAAGTAGGTAAGCACTGTTTCTTGTTATTTATCCTTGCCTGCATCTCTCGGGGTGGGCTGTCTTTCTCGAGCGAAGCAGCAGCCCCATCGGAGCAGCACTGCCGCCCTCTCCCGGCTCTGCTCGCCGGAGGGCCCGCCAAATCCTCCGCTACTTCAGCACGGGCAGCCACTAACAAACAAACAAGGGGAAAAAAAGACGCAAAAAAAAAAAAGGAAAAAAAAATGAAAAAAGGGGGGAAAAGGAGAAAAGGAGAAAAAAAGGACAAAAAGGAAAAAAGGAAAAAAGGAGAAGAGGAAAAGAGGAAAAAGGAAAAGGAAAAAAGGGAAAAGGGAAAAGGGAAAAGGGAAAAGGGAAAAGGGACAAGATAAGGAAAAAAGGAAAAAGGAAAAAAGGAAAAAGGAAAAAAGGAAAAAGGAACAAAGAAAAAGGAAAAAAGAAAAAAAGAAAAAAGAGAAAAAGAGAAAAGAGAGAAAAAGGAAAAAAGAAGAGACAAGACACAAGATAAGGAGAAAGGAGAAAGGAGAAAGAAGAAAGGAGAAAGGAGAAAGGAGAAAGAAAGGAAAAAGGAGAAGAAAGGAGAAAAAAAGAGAAAAGAAAGAAGAAAAAAGAAAAAAGGAAAAAGGAAAAAGGAAAAAGGAAAAAAAGAGGAGAAAAGGAGAAAAAGGAAGATAAAAAGAGAGAGTGTTCTTCACTGTGGGGGTGGTCAAGCACTGGCACAAGCTCCTAGGGAAGCGGTCACGGCCCCAGGCCTGCCACTGTTCAATAAGCATTTGTACAATGCTCTTAGATATGTAGTTTCACTTCTAGACTGCCCTGTGTGGAGTCAGGAGTGGGACTTGATGATCCTCGTTGGGTCCTTCCCACTCAGGATATTCTATGATTCTAAGTATTAGTACTAAAACTCAACTCAAATTAGTTCTAATACGTGCAGGAGAGGATCTCAAAATATTGTGCAAATGCTAACATTTAATTAAATGGTAAAAGGGAAATAGACATCTGTCCTACCACAATTTTTCTCATTAGTTATTTCTTTTCTAAAAGAGCATCAGATTAAAACAAGGACAGACTGTATTAGCTATCAGCAATGAAACAGTATCAGACCTACCAATTCTTGCTTCTGGGATGGGTAACGCGTCATGCTACGCACTGTGTAAGACAGCAACGTAGAAGACAGGCAGGGAAGGGATACAGAAAACATTATCTCCATTTCACAGGTTCAGAAGGGAGGCGCAAGAAGACTAAAAGGAACACCCAGTCACTTGTGCACTGGACTGAGCTGGGGATGTGGCGCTAAGCCACAAGCATTTTGATCTGCTCCAGTGTCACATTTCAAGGAAGCAGGAGAGGAGGTGTGCGCAGATGTCTCTGTGCCATTATCGATGCAACATTTTGCCATTTTTACTTGCAGGCGTTCTGGAGGAACAAACTTTCCTCCTTCTGTCATATCTGCCTGGAGGTTCTCCTGACCTTTTTTTCCCCTCCCATTTTTCCAGGTGATTAAATTGTGCTGTCAGAAAGCATGAATATAATGCCAAGAAGCCAGCAATTTTAACACCACAAAAGGAGAATTGCGTAATACTTCAGGCCACATCGGTTTCAGTCAGCACGGACTGACCCTCAGCCGGGGATGACAGAGCACCAATAGCTCCCAGCACAATGACTGACAGAACTGGGACATGGCAAATTGCACTCTCGAAGCCTGCAGCAGAAAAAGAGCTGGGGGATACGCTTTGCATTAAAAGCAGTCACGTACTATATTCTTAGAACAAGGGTAAAGTAGGACAGCCCATGACGACTTCCCTTCTAAGCCATTTCCCTTGAAACATTTTCCATCCTCCTCTCATTCTTTTCCTTTGCTAGTCTGTAAAAGACAGGTGTCCGTACTACCAGTGTAACGTTACTTATATTCTTACACTATACTACATATTTGTACTAAATTAAAGAGATATTGCTACCTGCAAATGTCACATTAATTGAAAGAACAGCTTAGAGCGTGACACCTGTCGATGGGTGAGTAAAAAGACTGCTTTTCCTCCCCTCCACTCAGTGCTGCAATTGAGCCTCAGTACATTATTGCTGTATTGGAGCTTGAACCCATTCAGAGTGGGAACTGAAAGGAGCCCAACATCTCTCATTTTCCAGGACTTTGGTAACCAGCTGCTATTACAAAGACAGGTACGCTTATACATCCCCCTTATTGCCACCCAGCTTCCACCAGGCACTGTAGATGTGACAGCCACACATGGAATAGAGGGCCTGCATCTTCACTCTGGGAAATGAGGATTTGCTAACCCAAATTCTCTTCTTCTGTCATTACTATAATGTATTTGAATTTTGGAGGCATGACTAAACTCTGAGCTGTTGAATCCTAGTGACCCAGCCTGTGTATTGTAAAACTAGTTTCCCGTTCCTGTGCCACATTAAAAAAATCAGTACTCATTTCAACTTGTGCTGACAGCTGATACCATAAGTAATATTAAACTAACATTTTTATTTTCAGACTGTGCTTTGAACAGAGTAGCCTTAATTTAAGAATTATTTTAATGGATCGTTTCCTAAAAATAAATAACTAAATCACTCTT